CCAACCAAACCAGTTCTGTGATTCTACATGTACACATGTGGATGTCTAACTGTGATGACAACAGCTCAGCCAACAGGCTGCAGAATCCCTGGAAAGCCCATCCTGCAGAGTGTGTCACAGCTGGGGCCCAGGTTTCCAGTATGCCAAGGTAACAGCTTCTGCCAATGACAGCTCCCATCACCTCCAAGCTGTGGAGCAGCCCCCACCTTTATGGTAAACATAAAGTGAGGGAAGAGAGACAGAAAGGAGGAGGAGGCCTTGCAAGGAAAGATAGAGAAAAGACAAACAGGAGAGTGGGTGACTGCAGAAATGGGGAGGGAAGGGAGAGGAGTAGATGTCAGCACGCCAACTTTGTCGTCGTGGAGATCAGTGGATCTGTGCTTGGTCCTTTTAACTTCCCCAGCACTTAAAAATGCAGCTGAAGATGAGACAACCTCTGCTGTGTGCAAGCTACGGAAAGATTAAGGGTGGAACAACTCAAACTGAGCAGGGAAAGGGTGGAGAGTGCCTTAAAAATGCTGTGAGAATGCAGGGGATCTGTGAGGGCAGCAGCTGGGGACAACCTTCTCTCTTGTACTTAAACTCAAGGAGTAGAAACTTTGAAAAGGACAGCAGGGGAACTTCTCCCAGCAGTCACAGTTCCCAAGGAATATATGGGAAGAAGGGTGAAAAACAAGACTCCCAGCCCCCTGGGATAACCACAGCTAGACACACTCCTGCCACGTGGCACTGTTCCAGCCTCCTGGCAGATACATCCCACCACGTACTGCTAACAGAAGGGTAAATGCCATGCCAGGCAAAGGAGCTACCCAGAGACTAGAGTGCACCTACACAAATCTGTCAGGCACGACTGGACCAAGGGCCTGCCTGCTCCCAGGCAGCCAGCACCCTGACAACACACAGCCTGCCAGGTGGGCAGCAGAAGGGATATTCCCTGCTACAATGGGAGGTCAAGGGCTTTGCCATGTGCCCTTTATGTCTGGGCTTTATTTACTGCTGTATGTTGGGGATTTGCACACAAATTTCACTCTGCACTATTAAGGATGTGCTCACTGTCTGTTCAAACAAAAGGATTTAAGATGCTCTTGGAGAGGATGCTGAAATGGCTGAAGGAAAAGCAACTGGCACAGAGGCAGAGCTGCCACTTGGCCTCACGAGGATCACACGGTGCCTGGAGCACCTAAAACTGCTGCTAGCCACACTCAGTGCAGAAATAATGGCTCCCACTGCAAGCAGCCCTGTTCAAAAGCCAAGGCTCTTCTACAGCCCCTCCTGTGGGTGGCTTCACCAACAGCCAACGCTCCCAAGCCCAGCTCCCCTCAGGAGCTCCTGGGCAGGTACCCACCACAGCATCACCTGCACTACCCTGTGGTTTGAACAGACAACACCACCCATCTCTTCCCCTCAAGTGGGTCAGTTTTCCAAGCAGCCCAGCTCAGGGTTTCACAGGGTGACTTTCCAGATCTGCAGGGTAGAACCAGTGAACATCCAGAGGCACCCAGAGCATATTGTTCCCTCCCCCACATCCAGTTCAGGGAGCGTGTTTCAAACAGATGACACGAAGGAGGCATCCGTGTAAACATCCTCTGCAGTGGGGACAAGGGAAAAAAAGAACCAGAACAAAATGGAGAGGGAAACTGTTTGGTTTTTTTTTTTTTTTTGAGAATGCACAGAGCCAAGGACCTCTACAAAGAGAGAAGATGCCCAGAAGGGCAGAATAAGCATCCTGCATGAGGGAAGAGGCTGGCATTGCTACCAGCAGTGTGAGAGGTCATGCAGATCCATCACCATCTACAACTCAGCCCATGAAGTGACTCCTCAGTGAACAAGGTTTTCTTGGGTGCCTGGATGAATGGTGCCACATTTCTGAGGAGAACCATGGGCAGTTTCTGGTGCTGCTCATAAACTTTGGGAAGGAATTTTTATTGGAGGGGAGGGAAGATCATAGAGTCATGGGATAATCCAGGTTGGAAAGAACTTCAGCAGATGATCCAGTCAAACCTCCTAGAGTGGTCCAGTTTTAGCTTTCTTTCTTACACAGCAATTTTCTGGGGTAATAACAGCAAACAGATCTGAGAGGTCAGAACAAACCAAATAAAAAAAGGAAGACTTTTGCCCTGGCCATGCTTTTTTAATCAACCTTCCCATCATCTGAAGGAAGGGAGAAGCTGCAGGTCCCTTCTCCCCAGCAACACTGACACATGGCAGGCAGGCCTGCTCCTTACCTCGGAGGACGGTGAGCTTGGCATGGACAGTGACCTCCCCGTGAGGGTTTTGGGCAACACACTCATAAATGTTCTCATCCCGGGGAGTCCGGAGGGGCTGGATCCTCAAGACAGCACCTGCACTTTCATCAAATTCAATTGTCTGCAGGGAAGAGAGACACACAAATATGGTCAGTCTCCTTGCTTTGCAAGCAGAAGGTTCATTCCTGCTTCTAAGGGAGGGACCAGCATGTACACAAGCAGGTACACTCACCACCAGCAGCTGCCCCACAACCCCCTGCACACAACCAGCATGCTCCACTTGTCTCTCCACCGACCTCCACTGCCCCATGCCAAACCCCATCCCTGCCCCCTGAGCCACCCAAGCTGCTGTGAACACCTCAAGTGCTCTGAGGGAATGAGCCGTGGGGATGGTGTGTGCAGGGTGGGTGTTCAGAGCACAGCCCTGACAAAAGGAGGAGGAAACAGACCAAGAGAAAACAAAATAAAACTGAATCCCCGTCTTGTTCCTCCATCTGCACGGGCAGCTGACACCACAAAGCTCCTCTCAGCACACAGCTGCCTGGCGAGGCTGAGTCCCACAGCAAATTCCACAGGATGACCTCCTAGTCCTTGTTCCTCCACTCTCATTTCTATCTAAACAATGCCAATTGCTCGGCTCTGTGTGCCAGCAACTGTAATGTTTACTCCAGGCTGTCCCAGGGTTAAAATAATGAGCCAGGGATGGGTATGAAAGGTGCATTTACAGAGCTGAAGCACTACCAGCATAGCTGGGGTTCCTCAGGGAAGGAAGGAGGCAGCTTTATATTATATCCCAGGAGAGGAAAAACCCAACTAAACAAAAGCAAAAAACTCCAATAGTGTAAGTGAGCCAAGTTCCTCTTGCTTTGGAACAAACCCAACTGTTGACAGAGCCAAGAGCTTGCATTTCACTCCTTCTGCTGTTAAAACTCCTCCCCTTCCAATTACTGTCACATCTGAGAATGGTCAAAGAAGAGTGCTGGCTGGTTTGTGTCAGTCTCTCCCTCCTCCTACATGGACAGGCCCAGATTTCAAGGACATCTCTTACCTCAAACCTCTGAGAGTTCACTTTCTTCCCTTTCTTGTTCCAGGTGACACGTGGCTTTGGGTCTCCAGTTGCTTGGCACACAAAGGAGGCCACCCCTCCTGACACACCAATTTGGTCCACAGGTTTTTTAATGAACACAGGGGGACCTTCAAGAAAAAAAAAGAATTATCATTGGCAGAAGGAAGACAAACTCTAATAAACCCTGTTTATAATTAACAGTAGCATCATCACTGCTATTCTCCAACAATTCCAGATGAAATTAAATCTCCCAGCCTTTCAGGAACAGTCTTTGTGTCCATTCTATATATGAAGGAGCCACAGCACAAACTGATTAAGGGCCTGAGCCTACAAGAGAGATTTCAATGTGATGGCATTGCAAAGCCTCTCTCACTTCTGAAGAGTGGACTTGTAAATGTTTTGTGCAAGGCCATCTAATGGTCATCACCAAAAACTGGTCAAGCTGAAAACATCTAGAAACACTGGATGGCACTCCCCAGATCTCAGCAGACCACCAGAACACCAAGGAATGGGGGAGATTTATAGGATCATACCCAAGGCAGGGGAAGAAGCTGGGAGAAGGGCCATAGAACAAGTGCAGCAGGAACCTGGTACATGGACATCTTGAGGATGATGGTGTGAAACAGGCTGATACCAGTCACTTTAGGATGTGAAACCTCCTTGGCTTGCAGTACCTCTGTTCCCATCTGCAAATCCTTTCTCTGGCCCCCACTGGTAACGTTGACACAGCAACAGGTATCTCATCCCTTGGAACAGCCAAACTGATACAGCCCAACACACAGAACTTGTGATCGTTTCAAAACAACCCTGTTGTCAAGACCAAGAGGGTGGCAGCCAAGTCTGCAGCCTGCTCCTGCAGCTCCTCCTTCCCCTCTTCTCATCCTGAGACATCTGAGAAAGACAAGGAATTCTCACTGCTGGAGGAAGGAGCCAAAAGCTCCTCCAAGTCCTCTCACAACCAGATGCTCAAAGGTGCAGCAATGCCCCAGCAAACACACTCAGAGCCTGGGGCTGCATTTCAGCCAGCCTGGACCCAAAGGAACAACACTCGAGCTCCCAGCACCTCTCCCTCACCCCCTGCCACTCATTTCCACCCACATCCGAGTGCCTCCAAGAGCACCTCTGCAAGGAGGGGAGAAGATGCTGGGATGGGCTTTCTGACCGAGGAAAGCATCGATGGCCTTCTCATGAGAGGAAGATGGGGCCAGGAGTGTTTACGCAGAGCCCATATTGCCTCCGTCCTCAGGGAATCCTCCTTCCGTGCTCTAACCTGTTTTCCCTGCATAGCTTCCTCTCATCTAGTTAGTTTAAAATTTATTGAAATATTTAAATCACAAGGCCGCAGCTGTGTTCAAATAAAATCACTCAGATCATAAAGTTGCCGTCTGTTATTCTTGAGAAAAGCAGAGCACATGACTCTGAAATCTGTGTATTTATACGTACATACGCAGAGTCTATAAAATAAGATGTAAACAGCCTAGTGAAGAGCTGAAGAAGAGGGGAAAAAACATAAAAGAGGGGAGTCTCCAAGGTCTTTTAGGGGTGGAAAGACAAAAGGAAGCGTTTTCTCCTTCCCTGCCTGGCGTGGCCAGCAGTATATAAATAAAAGCCACTGAGCAAGCTCATGTGATGCAATCAAGCATTTGTTTCCATGCTGGAGGTAAATACAATTTGCTGGAGCTGTTTACGACCCACCGAACGCCGTGTGTACAAAGCATCCCATTTATAAATATCCAAATCTATATTTAGAGGTCAGAGTCTTCTCTGCAATGTTACAGCTAAAGGTTATCAAGCAGGTCCCACTGGAGGTACTGGCATTGGGGGATCTGGCTTCCATCTGAGAAAGGCAAACCTAAAACTTTGCTCCAGGCTAAAATATAAACACTCACTCTGCCCACAACCTGATTTCCTTCCTCTCTTCTCCTCAGGTCAATATCTGACGAGCTTGCAGAAGTGGATCTGAAGGTACAGCCAAAAGGCTTTTAAGAACACTTTACTGATGCGAGTTCATTTCCTAAAATAAAAACCCCTAATAATCCTTAATGTCACATATACATTTAAATGGGTGCACGCAGGACGACGAGAGCACGGCCGAGGAGAAAAATAAGCTTCTATTTCTGTCCTGAAGAAATGGATGGTGCTTCAAAAGATGGTGAATGTGGAGTCACGGCTCGGCAGCCCCTTTTGGGGACTCGTGCTGCCCCTCTGTGTGGTGAGGGGGAAGCTGAGCTGCCCTGGGAACGCCGCTCTCCTGAGCTCCCTGCCACACTAAGCTGCCTACAACAAACTCACTCTGAGACAGTGAGAGACAAAGGAGACCAAACCAAACCCCCCATCGAGCAATCTATTGGGTTTTGCTGCTCCCTTGGAAAAATGGGTGGAAATCAAAGCTTAATTCTGATTTTCGAGTTGCCTGAGACTCCAGACTTTGATTCCACCCCCCTGCACCCACCTATGCCCCCCCTGTCACCCCAGCCCACTCCTGCTGCAGAACAACCCCCTCCCCTCCAACGCTATCGCAGGCAAGGTGGTGAGGATCCAAAGCTGAAACAAATTCCTCCGTGCTGCGTAGGATTGCCCCAGCTCTGCCAGTGAAACACTCAGAATTCAGTCTCCAGCTCTGCAAATCGCTCTGAAAGGCTCTAAAAGCTGGACGAGGTGCCGTGTGAAAGTGAAATGCTCTCAGCCCGCCCAGAGGGGCTCATGTGTATCCCCTCGTTTGCCAAGATTGCAGGACATCAGTTTTAAATTAAAAAAAATCAGAGAGGCACTTCCCAGATGACACACTTGCAGTTCAGGAGATTCTCTATCATTCACCAGTCTCCCCTCGTGGAGAGCTGAGAACAAGTCAGTCCTGGAATGACTGAGTTTGAGTTCCACCTAGGTCCAGGGGTCTCAAGAATCTTCTCTTCCCCCCTCTTCCCTGCTTGCAAAGTAGCAGAACCTGGT